TTAATCTGCAGTCAAGTGCCCATTATTTTCTTTTCCTGGCTGCCAGGGAGTTTGCTGGCAATTGAGATTTATGGAGCGAATAATCCACCTGGCAGGAGACTCTCTGTAACTCCAAAGACTATGCTTTAGTGGAAGAATGAACATTCCTTTTTGTGTGTAAAATGCCATTAATAGCTTATTTAGCAACCTGTATTTCAGCAACAGGGCTTTCAGTTTTATGTTGGAGGTGGATTCTTGCATATGCATAGGTTCTAGCACTTATGCTAATTCTGACCCTCATTTTGCTTTTGCCTGTTTCTGTGGCAGGATAACATATGATGTTCTCTCTCAGGTTTTTAATGTGGTCCTTAGTGCATATATTCTAGCTCCTGTTTGAATAGACTGCAAAAAAAGGGGGGTGGGGCACCCAAAACACACAACAGCAACAACCAAAAAACACCCTGAGGGCTAATTCTTCCCTGCGCTGACTGGAAATTGCCTGGAAACCAGGAGGAGCTTAGGCAGGGTAGTGATACCTCAACCACTGACACTCCACAGAGTCCAGCACAAGGTACTGTATTGCATTTACTGTTGGGAAAACTGAATGAAAATGGGATTTTTTTTTTTTAGTCATCGTGGTCCTTTCTTACCTTAATGTAGCATTTTCTCTTTCTTAAGTGGCTCGTTTTTACAACCAATGATTAGATTAGAACATCAAATAAGCCAAAAGCAATGAAATATGATAAAAATAAAGGATGGAAAGGGTTGTACTATTTTCAGTGCAGTTGATTTTGTTCCCGAGTTTTTAATAGAATTAAGTGGAGGATTGAGTTAGTCAGTGATTAAATTAAGTGGAAGTCACTGTATACCAGTGTTTAAGGTAACATACACCTGCATGGAATTTTGATTCTCAGCCATGCAGTTACTTGGCCCTTTAGGGATATTTTCCTAGTCTTGAGTAGTCTGGGCTTGATTATCACCCTCAGATTTACAGCTGCCTTTCCGTGCCCGGCGTTTCTCATTCCTTATGCATCAGCACTAGGAAATTGTGTACCTGTTTTTCAGCGAGGGCATGGGAGCACTGAAGTTAGCAGCAGTGTAATCTCCAGGGTAAACAGGGCCAGGGTGCTATTATCACTGTGCCGTTTAACCCTGCTAGAGGAGACATCTGTAAATTACCTGTGCCCAGCCTGTGTGCAAGGACTGATAGAGGAGCTGCAGTAAGGATAATTCATGAGTAGATTTTCTCACTTGCCAGTGTAAATAGAGCTAGGGCTAGTCAGGTCTGAAATGTTGATTACTTTTAAAACAGCATGTTATAATTCTGTGCCCTAGGTTGAACCCTCCCTCCAGCGCAGGAAAACAAACTACCGCTTGCATGGCCAGCACATGCACCGTGTGAGCTGTGTAACTCTACAGATCAAGGACCACTGTTTTTCTAGGAAACAGGATTTGGAGCTCTTTAACTGAGGATTGCAAAGGGTGGTTTAAAAAAAATCAGAAATCAATTTCACAATCCTTCCTATTATTGCAGAGTAAAGAACAGCTTTAATAGAAAGTTAAGTTAGAGGCCTAAATGTTGTCGTCTCCTGCGTTAAATCCCTCCTCAAAACTCGCTGCTTTGTCACTAAACCCCACGCTGCTCCCATCTGTTTGGTTGCTTGCACCTAATCACATTAAAACAAACACAACAAAATAATGTATCTAGATATGTACGTACTGGTAGATAAGGTACCTGAATTCACTGTAAATGAGGAAAGCACTTTTCCTTCCCCTGGTGATGGTATCATTTCTTATCTTTGTCTGACAAACCTAACCTTTGAGAGCCAGACTTAACCGAGAAGGTGCAAATTCACCCCAGGAAGGGGACAAAGGTGACAGCTTGAGAGGTGGGAACATGGGTCCTTCAGCATGGGAGCCTGGGCTCACTGGAAGCTAATCTCCGGGCAGGGAGAGGGTCCTGGTCGCCTGCCTGCCCCTCACTGCCGTGTTCCTGCCTCCTTTTTTGGTGCCAGCATCAGCATTCACCCAGCTACAGAGCAAGCACTTTAATTTTAGATTGGTTCTCATCTGGGCAGGGAGCTGATCCAGCTGAAAGCCGGTCTGTAACTCAGCCTGGTCGCTTGCTCTTGTACCTGTGCTGCTGCTGGCACAAGGAAGGCGGCAGGAACAAGGTGGCATCGGCATCGGGGCGGCCGCCATCAGACGCAGCCGGTGCTGCTGGGAGGTGGAAACGGGGCTGCGATCGCAGCAGGAGGTGGCAATTATCAGGATAGTGGTGAAGATCCCCAAGGCTGCCGTGGGGGCCGTGCCCAGCACAGCACAGCGGCGGGCTGTGCCTGTGGAGTGCTGGTTTCATGTCGTTGCTCGCCGCTCTGGCTGGCAAGCCGGGAAGCACGGCGTGAAAGTACGGATCCTCTGCGAAAGGCACCTGCTGCCAAAAAATGGCTTAGCCCATGAAGCATCATCCTTGTGCCTGGATGAAAGAGGCACGTAACTCTGTGTGACTGTGCACAAAGCATTTATGGTTATATATTTTTGCTGATCTCAGGTGATTTTTCTGGGCTTAAGGTACTTAAAGCTATTTCTTAGCACAGGAAGGGAGAAGCACCTCTGTGCAGAGAGGTTCATTGCACCAGCCAGACTGAAGGTGAGCCAACTAAGAGGGTGAACTGCAAACAGGAAGAAACATCCCCTTATATATCTGAATTTCTTTTTCTTTTTCTTTTCTTTTTTTTTACTTTTTAACAATCTTTGTTAACAAAACTTTGTTTAGAGCTTCTTACCTTTTAGGGCTGAGAGTGTGGCCAAAGTCGATAATGTCTTCAGAGAAGCAAAGAAAGAAAGGGATAGGAGACAGTGCAGGTGGAAAACTACTAGCATCTTAAAGTATTAGTAAAATTAAAAAGCAGTTTTTATTCTTGTGGATTCCAGAAATTATGTTTTTCCCCAGTCAAGACTGAGGAGACAGGGGGCAGATCAGCAAATACGTCCTTTATAAAATCTCGCTTAAATCTTACTAAGTTTAACTAGCCCTTTTTGTTAACAGGCTAGACTTGTAAAGGCTTTTAGAGGAGCGTTACAACTCGGTGTGCCAAAACCTGTTTCCGCCCTCTCCCCAGAGCAGCTGTTTTGGTGACAGTTCACTGTGGAATCCCGATTCTAAGGAAGGGAGTTTTAGGAGGAAGCAGGTCCGCCGTCGTCCTTGTTGGAAGAGCAGCTTTAGGAGGCGTTTGGCACTTGCTGAATGGTTGACTCCTTTCTGAAGGACTTGATTCACAATGAAAACTTGATGATAAATTCTTCATAAATAGGTAATGATCCTTGTATTGTTCTGAGGATGTTCTTGAGGATGCTTCAGGAGCATTGTTTGTGGATACAGTAGTTTGTACCCATCTGTGACTCACAGGGCCTGCCCTTGTACAATAGTACGTCATTAAACAGACATTTGGCAGGTAGAGAAGTAGTGAGCTACAGAGGGACTGAAGTGTGTCGTGTATCAGTCTCCCTGTGCAGAGAATTTTGGTCGTGCCAAAGCAGTCACTTCATGCTGAAAGATAATGTCCTTCAAGAGCTGAAAAGGCATCTAAACGTTTGGGTTATTTCCTCAGTTGTAAGAGGACGAAGTGAAGGAGCAGCATTAACACCTCCATAATGATTTGATTTTGTTTACTATGTAAAGTCTTTACATTGGGCTTCTCTGAAACCAGCTTCTCATTTGAAACATGAAGTCTGGGAATAATATACGCCGGTCAGTTTTTGTCTCAGAGAAATTTTGTTTCACACTGCAGCCCTAAAGCCTTGGGAGTGGAGAATTTTCAACAGAAAGGTAATCAATCAGCCTCGGAAGTGACCCTGTGCGCACAAAGCAGGTCAGACCCACACAACAGCAATGTAAGAAAAAAAAAAAAAAGAGCCTGTAAAATTAATTGTTTTCCAAGCAGTGCAGGAGTGATAAGATTCCAATTTTGACAGTGCGCCACATCAGTTATCTGCACTGAGTTACTTCCCTCTGCCGGTAACAGTGCTGGAGTCGGTAATACCCAATTTTACTCAACATATAATTTAAACTCCTTCTACTCTTCTAGTAACCCTCAAAAGGATACTTACTTGCCGTCCACAATCACTATCCCTCAGCTTGAGCGTATTATTTGGATTGGGGCCTTAGACTTAGTGGCCCTAAGCTACACATCAGCTGTGGTTTAATAAATCCAGACAAGGGGGAGAGACGGCAATGACAGGGGAAAGGTGCTGGTACCGCTGAAAGAGGAGGAGGCTGCCTCCATGGCGGGGCTGGGGCAAGCGGAGGGGGTAAAGGGAAGGCAGATACGGCTTGCGCTGGGAGGTTTGCCAAAGAAACGCGCATGAAACTGGAGCCCCAGTCTCAAAAAATTCAGTCTGGTGTTTTTCCTTCCCCTCCCCCTCTCTTTTTCCTTTCTGAGTTTCTGTGTATAGATTGCTTGAGGTTACGTGGATTATTTCTCCTGGTGGTTATTGTTTTGCCGTGTTATACCAGGATGTGTTACCCTGATATTATAAACCCTATGACCCTCCCTAAAACGTTTCATAGTAAAATTGGAACTTCAGCTTCTGAAGGCGTCTGTGGTCACTTTTAATGGCTGTATACCTGCGACAGGGGAAAGAGAAGAGATGAGGAACTGGGGATAAAATTTCCTTACCGATACCTTTTTAAGTTAATGGAAAAGGGATGGGCACAGAACAGTCTGGTCTGTTAAATAACCTGGAAAAGTATATTGCTTCCGGGAGTGACTGACCTTTTTAAAGCAACTAGCGTTTATAAACTAAGCACCACTTTGCAAATACAGCGGAAAACTCCCAGTATCTATATATCTATAATTCAGCTATAATGAGATCTCCGAGCCTAAAGCTCATGTGCGATACTTGATACCAGTTGTGGGTGTTCCCCCCCCCCGCCACCCCTCGCCTGTGGAGTGACTTTCTGCGTTTTGCTGGAGCCCGGCTCCGAGAGCAGCGCCGCCGCAGCCTCCTCTCCGCCGGCGCCCCGCGGGTGCGGGCAGCGTGCGCCGGGGCGCGCGTGGGATCATCCTGGCGCACTCCCGGCGTTTCCCCGTGCCCCGCCGAGGCGAAAGAGCATGTGTGAGCAGCTCCCCGCAGCCGGAGCCTCCTGGCAAGGCGAGCCGGAGGGAGGGAGGGAGCATAGCGCAGTCTTGACTAAAGTAGCGAGCGCAGGGTTTGGGGCCGGGAATGACGCACGTTGAGCTGGATCAGAAACGCGGAAGAATTAGAAGCCTCTGAGTGTCAACTGGTCTTGGTTTAAAGAGCAACGCAGCCGAGCAGCGAGGCTGTTACGCGTGTGGCGTGGGTAAGATATGCATCCTTCTTTTGCTTTTCTCTTTCGCTCGCTCTCTCTTTCGCTCTCCACTGACGCGCAAGTCAAAAATCTTGCGGCAGGGATCAGGAGAGAGGGATTTCAGTCGAGCTTTGTGGATTTTTTTCTCCTGTTGATCTTTTCTTTTTTTTCTTTTTTTTTTTTCATTTTGTTCCAGACAAAGCCTAGAAAGATTGTGTTGTTAAGAGTTTAAACGTACCTCTCTGCTGCCTTGCGTGTCTGTGTGCGCGTGTGCACACAGGCACTACCCGCATGTACGTTTTTCTGGGTAAACAAGAGTGAAAGTCTGCTTCAGCTGGTCTGAAGATAGGAGACCTGGACTCTCTATCGGTTTCCACGGCACCGCCAGGTTCCTGCTACTTTGCAACTCGCTCTCTGCTGATGGCAGTTGATAATTGGTAGCCACAGTCTGCGGTCTGAGCCACAGCATTTTGTCTAGCGCCTGGGCCGGGCCCTGCTGATATACTGGAGAGAGAGAGAGAGAGAGAGAGGGAGAGAGAGAAAGACAGACAGACAGACAGACAGACAGACAGACCACGCTGGCTGTACCTGTGCAGCTGTGAGCGAGCAGCCGCGAGACGCGATTTCCCCGCAGCGCGGAGCCGGAGGCTGCCCGGTGATGCGGCGCGCGCTCGGGGGGTTCACGGAGAGGCTCGAATCCCTTTTCCAGAGGACACGATTATGTCCAGTGAGCAGCTTAACAGTACAGCGGTGAAGGATGCACGGTTAAAAGACCTGTTATTGGAAAGAGGTACTCCCGTTTTATTTATTTCGTGTATTTGCATGCCTAGGGTTACTGTGAGTTTAGTCCCTGAGTTCTGTCGGAGCGAAGTGAAGGGAAATCCTGCTTGTAATTACCGCCAGCCCGAGAGCTGCTCGTGATCAGAGCCCTAGGACGCCGAGGAGGGCTTTTATCGCTTGGGAGACCCAGTTTGTTTTCGAAGGATAACGTAGGATGATGAGCCAGACCTTTTCCCTTGTATGATTATCGGTAGGATAGCAGATGATTTCTTCTTTTCTCATTTTTGTGAGAGGTGTTTTCATTGAATGCATAATTGCCTTTTTCCTGTTGTGCCTTTATGAGGAAAAATATTCTGGGAAAAATGTACTGTAAGTTTTATTCCCTGTGCGTGAAGAAGTGTGTGTGTGTGTGTGTGTGTGAGAGAGAGAGAGAGAGAGAGAGAGAGAGAGATACAAGGAGGTAAAAGTGTTTCATTTCACTCTCCCCCCACGTTCTTCCCTGCTTAATTTATGGAAAAAATCCCTATTAAGGAATACACATTTACGGACCAGTGCGCCCTGGGCGTCAGGGCTTTCCACTCATGCAGACACGTGCCGCAGACTTCGTCAGAGGGACAGGAGGCAGGCGGGGGGTGAGGGACTGAAGTGACTAAGTGTGTGTCAGCAGCCGTCAGAAACTGTTCGCGTTGCCTCGAGCGGTGTCAGTAACTAGAGACCGCTTCCGTTCTTGTCTTTTTCTCTTTCTTTTGCCTATTAATAACCTTGTGATTAGGAGAAGGACTAGCAGGCACAAGACAGTGTTAAACATCACCCTTCCCTTTTCCTCCGTGCTCCAGCGAGAAAATCCTCTCCGACATCAGTGGGAAGTTTTGTTACGTTTTAATGTTTGTAATAAAAAGCTGAACCTGGAAAACGGTGCGCGCACACTTGGGCGCTGTGATTTTGTGATATGGCTGCATTTCAGTCATTTGTTTTCGAATGATTTTCACCCCAGAAGGGACATGCTCCCAATCCTAATCATTTATTTGTAGAGGAGAGGAACTGTCCCCTGCCACCGAAATGCTGGGGCCTTGATAAATTTAGAAGACTCTGCCCTTGGCAGATATAGAAGCAACATGTCATTCCAGTGATCTTTGCATTCTAGGAAAGCCTAAATCAACATTGCTTGTTTTGCATGTTGCCCTTTAGCAGCAGTCTCTCAATTTCCAGTCATAAAATATTACATGGTCCAGGAAAAAAAAAAAAAAGTTTTGGGTAGAGAAACTCCTTGATACTTAGTATTCACAGAACTTGAAGTGCAGCAGTTGTCCTCTATGTCAAGTCTGTGTTCTGCACTTTTGACCCAAGAAAAAATTGGCTGTATATTTGAACATGGTTTTGTTTTGTTTTGTTTTGTTTTAATTAATTTCTGTGCTTGTTGCTTTTGGATCTTTTAGTGCTGACATCATTAGCTTCCAGTGCCTCAGGACAAAAAAATGGCACATACATAGACTGCCGCGTATGGGATTGATATAGCAAAAGCAGAGGGAGGCTGCAAAACACTCACTAATGAAATTATTCCTAAGTGTTGACAGTGTTACTAATGAATGGATGGTACTTAGAAAAGAGAAATTAAAGGATAGACATATTGTTGCATTGTTAAGGGGCCCTTTCATCTTTCTGTGGCTTTGAATAAGTTCAGCTACTCGTGTTGTGAGGATCACGGACACTCAGTGCTTAGATCTTTGTGCGTTCCTGCCCATTGCAAACTCGGGACAAACTGCTGGGCGCAGTTTGGGGCGCGAGCTGGTATTACTGTGGCCGCAGCTGGCCTCCCTCAAGCACCAGCACCCTCCCAGGTCCTGAAGACTGAGGTTTTGTTTGGAAGAAATCTTGGAATAATGAAACAAACTTGGATTTCCTTTAGTTCCACCGCAGGACGTTTTGAACTTTGAGTGTGAACTGTACTTTTCTAGCTCAGCTTCATAGTCATATTGTGTTTGTGTAAGCTTCAGCTACTGTTATTACACAGAAGGGTGAGGATGACTACAAATGAGAGAGAGAGCTTATTCTCTAAGTGAGAAGGCCGATTCTCTCCAGTATATTTGCTTTGTACCTTTATTTTTTAACTTCTAGTATCTTTTTTTTTTCTTATTGGCTTTTTCAAAACAGGAATTTACTGTTGCGTTCCTAAAGTCACATTTTGGCACCCCAAAGTAGTGTCATTTTCGAAAAGTGCTGAGACCTGAGCAACTCCCACTGCTTTTCTCTTTTTTAAGTCCGCAGCAACCAAAAACCGCCTCCCATTAACTGGAGGTTGTCTTTCAAGATGAGAGCATCCCCTGTGAGTAATGCAGTTTCCATAGAAATACCAGCAACTGCATAATTCCAAAGGGTTATGGTTTCTGTCTTCTCTTAGCTTGCTCATCCATGCTGCTCCACGATAGCTGAAAGGGTACGAGAGTGACTGCAAGTGCTTTGTTTCTAAATATACTTTATAGTTGTCATACAGACAGGATTTCTGATGAAATGATGGGCTTTTATGGTGTTCATTGTATTGTATGTCTTGCAACAGGTAAGCCCCGATGTCATTTTTAACCATAATGGAACGTATCTTGGTTTGGTGTACCAGAACTCTTTTAGGCTTTTAAGTGTATAGGAACATCCTAAAGAGTTAATTTTGCACTAGCTGGAGGAGAGTGAGGAGCTGAAGAAAACACTACTTGCAGATTCACTAGGACAAAAGTTTGTTTTCAACTTGGTTTAGGTAAGGTAAAGTTCAAGACAAGGCTGTTCATAGCTTTCACACTGTTTAGCTGATCAAAATTAAGGATAGTCACCCCCATAGTCTTCTTTCCTTTTTGTTAGATAGAGTCTAAGAGCAGAATGTTAATCACTGAAATACTACGTACAGTGTCCCGATTCCTCTCTCCCTCACCTCTGCTTTGAAGCTTATGGAGTCCTCTAGTCTCTATTGGCATTGCAGGTGGCTATTGAAATAGTTTTTATTTTTTTAAGTGGAATTGTTGCATTATCCAAAGGAGCATCCTTGGTGTTTCTGCTGAAGAACTTATTACCTGTGAGGGCTGCAGTAAAGGATCACTAGGGAGTTTATTACCTTTGACTTGGAGCCGCTCAGTATCGACTGATGAGCTAAAAAGTAAAAAAAAAAATCATTCTTTTTAGGACACAGATTCCTCTGCAAAATTTGCAAAGTGGACACCAGTAAACATCTTAATCTGGATCAAATTTGACGAAGTAGTGAGTGTTTTTGGATTATTGCTTTGATGACTGACATTCTGTGTGTGATTAACATTTTTCTTGTTTCTCTTTTTCCTTGTTTCAGCTGAGCTGGAGTTTGTTCAAATCATCATTATAATTGTGGTTATAACTGTTATGGTGGTAGTGATCATCTGCTTGTTGAACCATTACAAACTCTCGACACGCTCCTTTATCAACCGGCAGAGCCAAAGCAGAAGGCAGGAAGAAACTTTGCAGACAGTGAGTATGAGCTCCCTTACATCACCTTCCTTCTCCTCAGGCTTATACCCGCCTGTATCAAAGGCTCCTGAGGAGCTCTGATACGGGCAGCTGTCTGAAAAACTTCTGGTTTCTGCTACTCTATGTAGTTAGGTTTATTGCTGACAGTAGACAAAAATTCAGAACGTGAGCTTAACGTTTACTGCCTGTGAGTATGTTTAGGTCCTGCTTTGTTTTATGTAGCTTTTCTTCATTTTGTGCTTGGAGGTTCAGATGTGAAATCCTATTCACTGCCACTGCTGCAGTTTGAAGGGGAATGGAGGGGAGAGAATGGAAACCACCTGGGATATGAAGAGTTAAATATATGCTGACTGTCTGTATTCTTTCTGCATTTTTACTAATACCATCTTGGAGTTTTACCACTATTATTGTTTTGTGAAACTGCAGTAAGAGTTTACTGGATCCAAAACACTAGACCAGTAATGGCCCAGGAAAATAGAGCATTTTATCTGTCTCACTCCAGCAGCAAGAAAATATTAGGCAAATGATCTCTCCCCAGGGAACTGGAGTGGTTAAGATGTCTTGTTATAGAGCCAAAGGCTTAAGATTGAATCTGAGTCAAGTCTTGTGGTAAAGACTGTCCCCAGCCAGCCCAGTTAACTTGGTTTGCAAGCCAGATGTTTGCCAGATTGGATGCATTACTCTCTTGTTTGGGTTAACCGTAGAGTGTCCCTGACCTTGATACAGCCCCCTAAGCTTGCAGTGCTACAAAGTATCCCATGCTGTTGCAAGGAGATCCTTTCTGATGTGCTCTTCTATGTCCTCAGAGCACTGCTCCTGGCCTCTTTGCTTGCTGTGATAGCCGCAGGGCCAATTGTGAAGGTAGCTTTCGTGATGCATTGAATCCTGGCAACAGTACTGGGTTCACTGCTTCATTTTGTTTCACTGTCAAAAAGAATCATATGATTTTGACTGGAAGGCACAATCCCATAATAGTTTAACCCCGTCTCACCTTTCTTTCTACCCCCCTCATGTGTTCCCATCTCCCCATTTATTCTTCTTGGGGAGGTGGTGACAGCACAGAGAGAGGCTTCAGGGGGCTCATCTGGCTGAAAACAGATCACTTTTTGGACCCGGTTAGATTTCAACCAGATCTACTGCCTGAATGAGTGAAAGGCATGGGCACAAGGGCAACACCGCTGGCACAGGAGGAGGCAGGAAAGGTGGCATCAGGATTTACCCTGAACTGCTGCTGCAAAGTTACACTCTACACAACTTTGTCCTGAAAGTTGACTGTAAAACACAGCAAACCTAGAGCCCTCAAAGCTCTCATTTAACACATCACCTGTACTCTGTTGCTGATATGAATAGCGCTCGCACCTCAGAGGCTGCAGCGGAAGGAAAGGAACTGTCTCCCTGAGAGAGGGTAGACTCATTCTCTATCACGCTGGTAATTCACAAATACTTAGTACTAATTTGGTTACAGATGAAACTAGAGTCTTGTGAAACTTTAACCTTGTGGACTTCTGGGCTGGAAAAATTGGTTAGATTAATCCGAGAATTTCTTTGAAATGGACACGGTAATTCACGAACCACACGTCTGTCTGAAAAATGTTAGCTATAATTGCTACAAGTGGTGCCTAAAACAAAATAGCTCGCGATACAGGTAACGTATTTTCGTCTTTGCAAATCTTTTAAAACTGCAGTATGCCGCCAAATGCATGAAGTAACCCATTATTTTCTTTGTATGGTTCATTAGTATTGTCTGTTATTAGGGTGAATTGGGCCTTTCTCTTTGAAGCAAGGGAGGAAACATCATCTTTTTGTGATTAAGGACATGTGATTAGACAGTGGGGACTCAGGAGCCACGTTAGTATCCAAAACTGTTCTTAAATCATTTTTAAAACATTGACTCAGTTTCATTTTGATGGCACCCTTGTAAGTAATGATAATCACAATCAAGTGAGCATTTCATAGGAATTGATGATTAGTTGGCAAGAACTGGTTACTAATTCTTCTGAAGACTTTCTGGTACAGGTTTGTCATCACTGTTACTCATCTGGGTTTCTGATAAGGCAAAACTGTTTTTAAAAGATTGCCATATTTATGCTGAATAGGACGTCAGTCGTCTCTGAGATCAGATGTCATATATGTTTGATTTTTCCTTTGTCTTAGGTGTTAAAAGGAAATTATGATGGAAACTAATCATGCACTATTCACAGGACAGATAATAAAAGCAGTGTACAATGCATGAGGATCAGAAATGGGAGCATTTATTCTGTGAAGCAAAACTGGAAATGACCAGTCTATTACATTGTCCAAAGCTGAGTGAATTGCACAAGTTAAATAGATAGCATGAGCAGTAAAATACAAGTTAGATTATACACTTTTAAAATATACTCATGTTTTAACCAGGCAGGCTTTTTTGGGTGTGTGAATGCTGTTGGTAACTGGGATCCTTCCAAGGGGATAGAGTTTCTGTGGTGTATATAGATTCTGAAAAGAGTTAAAGGCTTATGAACTACTAGTGTCTAAAGAAAATATCATTCTGACTCAGGCCTTTTGTTGTCTGAGAAATGATGAATGAAAATAGAGGAAGTTAGCAGTACTGCTTAAAGGAAGATAATAAAGTAAATGAACTGGCTGTTGGCCAGTTCCTGTAGTTGACTATGAAGCGAAACCCCCTTCATGTTAGTTGCAAGGGTGTGTTAAGAGACAGAATCTGGCTTTTCTGATTCAGATGGGCCTTTTTTTCCGTGCAAGGAAACCTCACACCTTTAAAACTCATGAAGTCAGGCCTCCAAAATAATGAAAAAAAAGCTGCGCATATGTGTTTGTGGGTTTCTTATTTGTCTAGCTAAACTGCCTTCATGTTAAAAAAAAAAAAAAAGAAGAAGAAGAAGGTGTGGAATTTGAAGTTCTCATAGTCTTCTGAGTCCAGAAATTAGTGTTAAAAAGAACACCAAATATTGTTAGACTCACAGATGTTAGTAACACTCAAAGGGCACAAAAGATCCCAGAAAAAATATCAGTTGCTTTATAGAGAATATATGCTGAAAAGTAGTTGTTACACTCTTGTACTGTAGGTATTCTTTCCTTTGTGTTCATCAGAAGATCTGTGTCTTTTTTTCCCTTTGTTGTTGTTGTTTTTGTTCTTGTTGCTTTCCCCCTTTTTATCCCTTCTGGAGTCTTACTATCTTCTTTGATTAGTGCACTGAGACCTTAGATGACATGCCGGACAGAGTATTCTGAGTGGTAAGAAATACTGCATTTTCCTATAGTGGTTTTGCTGAGGATTCCTCCCAGCCCTGCACAGCAAGCCTTGTGCCCTGCTGTCTTCTAGTGGGGATATTAAAACCTACAAACCTGATTCACTCTATTAGTTCAGGTGGAATTTAATCATAGCTTTAATATTAGCAGAAATACGAGTTTTGGCAGCATTAACTGTGAGGGATCAAACGATGCTGAGTAACAGCTACGTTGACTTGAAAGGCAACCTGAAGCGAGTGTGTACAGTGCTGAATGGTGTCCCTATCACAATGAATAAAATACTAAACGTTTCCCCCTGCTGGATGATCCCTAAGGAGTTTTTGGCTTTGCAGCTGGGAGCGACGCAGCCCAGCTTTGCAGAGGAGCTGAGGAGCAGGTGAAGGCCGTACAGTGCCGCATATACCAGGGATGGACTTACTGCTGCTTCACCACTGAAGCACAGCCTCTGCTTGGAGAGTCACGGCAGTGCACAGGGTACATCTGACACCTCTAGAGAGATGCGTGTTGCAGCATTGCTGGCTGTGGCTTGCGAGGACTGACATTTTATTGGGAGGTTCTTGGTAACCAAAATGATTCTGCAGGAACGTAGATAGTGCTGGCCGAGTCACTGCTGTGGTACTGTCCTGTTTGCTGGGGCAAAACCAAGATAAATCTTGTTTTCTGATGATTAACTCTTAGTGTCATCACTGGTGATTTCCAGGAGGACACTGAGGGAAAACAGATCTGAAAAGTGACTCACAGGGAGAAGTTTAATGAGCTTCTGAAGTTCCTGTATTGATTCCTTCTCCTCATCCTGGCTGCTTGTCTCTTTGTGTCTTTTTCTCTTCTAAAACGGGTTGACTGCCCTAGGCCCACTCTTGGCAGCAAAAGTCCCTGCATGCGTCATGCCAGGTGATTAGGCTTCCTGGCCCCCGAGTCCCGGCCTCCCACCTTGGTGGGCAGCGTCACTGCAGGGGCGCGTCAGCTTTCATTAGGACGAGCGCTGATAACGCCCATCTCAAATGCCAAGTTGTAGGAGAGCGGTTGTAAAAATACTGTGACCTTCCCTGAATTTAGCTGGAACAGCTATTTTGGAATAAAAGGAAATCAGGAAAATGGCAGAAAATACTCAACAATATTGATAACTCCAGGGATTTATTGGTGATTTCACATGTTGGTCTTGCCATGTTGCCCTTTAAAATTATTCCCCACCGGTGTTAGCATTATTACTTCTGTTCCCCGCTGACGTCTCTGACTTGCTCGCTCTCATTTTGTTATATCGACATGCAAAGCTAGAAATCAGTCCTGATGGGAACAAGGACCCAGTCTGTAGCCAGGAGAGAGTGTAAGTGGGTGAGTAACCATGTAGATCACCCTACTTGCCAACCCCTTTTCCTTCCTACCGGGTATCCATTTGCAGGCATTGGACATGCAACGTGCTCTCCTGCTGCCCACGGGAGGAATGCAGGGGCTTGCCTCTCCGCAAGGTGTGCTGCCAGCAGGGACTGTGTGTGCTGGCGGCTGCTGTTTGAAGCCTACCGCAGTAAAGGCAGAACATCTTTAATAAGGGTAGCACAATCTCTGAAATCTGCAGGTAGGTGTAGAAGGTAGCAGCTCCTGCTTCTGGTTGCTACTGACTCACTTGGTCACCTTGGGCACCTTTACGTCACCTCCAAATAAAGGAGGAAGGATAATAGCACTTTTTTCTTTTGCTGCATGAAGTGAAGATTACTTAAGATTGTAGGGTAAAGCACTGTGAAGTTGAAGAGATAAAGGCTTTAAAGCATTAAATAGCAGAAATAATCACTATGACTATAACTCTAGGGAGGCAGAAGACAAGTGAGAGGTTTGATTCTCTCTGTAATTATTTCTCTCTTTCTCATACCTCCTTTCTTTGATACTGTGCACCGTTCTGCCAGACACTGTAACCTCTCCTGCCCTTGGGAAATACGTCTTTTAAGGAAAAGAGCAATCTTGCTGTAATACTTGTCATTCTGTTAGGCCATACACAACAGTTTTGCTTTGCTTGTGTTCAGAGGGAAAATGTTATGATCTTAAGAGTTGTGGTGGTCTGTATCACCCAAGAAGAAGGGAGGAAGGAACCTGCCTGTGTTGTCTTCCCAGAGTATTTTAAGTAACCCACTGCTTCAACCTGCTACAATATATTACTGCCACCCAGGGCCAAAATCGGGAAACTACACCTGAAACACTCCATCTGCAAAGAGCGGAGGTGTATTGAAATAAAACAAAACAAAACAAAACAAAACTCAGTTTAATCAAGGGCAGAAGAGGTACCTTCTGTGTGAAAACAGATGAAAAAAAGGCACAAATTAGTACATGTAGTGCATTTCAGTAAGTGAAAAACTAGCTTCTGTTTCTCAGGAAATAAAATTTCAGGCAGAGTTCTATTTGTCAGAAACTTAAAAATGGAAAGAAATTTCCTTAAGAGAGTCAGTAAATAAGCACAGTAAACACATAACATATGTACAGACCCAGGGGAGGCTGCCAATGGAAAAAAAGAAAAAAAAAAACCGTCTCAAATCAGTTAGGGGTTTCCAAACCACCCAAAGATTAGACAATGTCTTTGATCAGAAGGTAATAGATCTTTTTTGAATTTGGATCATATAGGTTACTTTTACTTCATCACAGTTTGAGGAATTTTTCTTACTGAGCATAAAATTTTATTTATAATTTATATTGAGTTAAAACATCAAAATCTATCCTGCAGCAAATCTTTTTCTTCCTGAACCAAGTTAGCTGGATGGCACTGCATGCTCCAGGAAGCACAAATGGCCTTGAAAAGTCACCTCCCTAAACTATTTAATTCTAGAAGCTTTAAATCTTTGTAGAATACAAATTAAGCAAATTAACTTAGGTTTATCCAGTCTTATAAGTTTTAAACCTTAACTTAAATAATCATTACCCTAAGATAATTAAGTTATCACCCAATGTGATTTATCAAATGCTACTGTTATTTCAAAACCTAATCCCCAAAATTATTTCCATAAATTATCATGTCAGTCCCGGGTACATCTAAAGGGCAACAAAAGACCTAGCTGGAACCCTCAGATTTTTCTACCTTTGGCATTTTTTGTAAGGCTAGGGTTTACCATGAAGACTTGTAACCTTTTTCATTCCAAAACCTAACAGTGTTGAAAATGAGTACAATTTAGGGGACAAATGTATATACTTTCTCTCGCTTTTAATTATAAATATTAAAACTCAGGCCTGAACACCTTTGATCTGTTTCAGACAGAGCAAACTGAAGTGGGTAAGGTTAGCTATTGGGTGCATATAAGAAGCAGGTAAATGATATATTGCCCGCATGAAAAATGGGTAAATTCCATTTGTTTGGGTTTATCCTTGGCTGTACATAACTGAGAATGGCTTGTACAAATCCCTGGGCACTTGGTTTGAGAAGGCATCCAGAACCGCCAGCTCTGGATTTGTTAGCTGAAAGCGCTCCTGCTCATGGGGTGGGAATTGGCTCTGTACCAGTGGCAAGGGACCGCAAGGCCAATGCTTCTGGAGTGGAGGGTGTTCACCTCCCATATACCCCAGTATGGCCAGTCTGAGATACATCTCTTGTGTTTTAGCTAAGAGGTCTTTGCAGATCTGTCTCGCTCTGCTGCTTAAACTGTAAAAGCAGAAAACAAGTGATCTGCTCTTATTTATAATACTGATTTCATTCCTGGTTTTAATACGGCGAGAACATGCAAAGAGGCCCTAGCATACACTCTACAGGGGTGAGAAGCTTCAGTCAGGAGACACAGGTTGCTTATGGCTCCTCAGTGACACCATATTTGGGTGAGAGATTCCTTCAGAGAGAATGATAAACTTGCCTCTCCGCTGAAGAGACACGTCTGCCATTGCCTGCCCTAGGTGCAGAAGTAAAAGATCTGAACCTCAAGCAGTCACATCTGCCCTCCTTGGGGAGATGTGCTTCCTGTAGGCCATCGTACCACTGTGGGTCAGCAAGCTGAGGCAGGAACCAAAGGACAGAGCGGTATCGGCTAATGTATTCAGAATTTTAATTTCTTTCTTTAAGAATAGCACCGTATTTTAGAAATATATTTTTAATAAATTGCTTGGTGAGAGAAACGTATTTGCTTTGTTGAAAGAAATAAGTTTCTGTCGATCAGCCTCGTGTCCGAAGGATCTCACAGCCTCCTCATGTAGTTAGCCTTGAGCGGGGAGAGCCTTGGGCTCCTTGCCTTGGGCTCTGTAGTTTTGGCCCAGGTATCCCAGCATCCCAGTCACACTCTGTGGGGTCCCTGCAGCACCTGCAGTGCCTCCAGGCAAAGTCTTTTCTTGTACTGGGATTCAGGTGACAGCAGTCGAAGCTGGTAGCTGAGCTCATCTAGCAGGAGGTTGTTTTCTGTTGGACGTGTCTGGTACGAGGTCTCGTCCTCAGGTCTGCACACCCAGGCTCAGCACACAGATCCAGTGCTGTCTCAGCATGGGGAGCCATTCCCCAGATACCTCGTTGTCTCTCTTGGCTCTTCTTACTCTCCTGATTTAGGTGAGGTGAGTCTTAGGCTGGGAATCATTGTTTCTACTTCCACATCAGCAACTCTTTTTCTTAGGAGAGTCTTAAGTAACAGCAGTGTTGCTGGTGGATAGCCTTTTTTTCTGGGCGGGGTCATTGTTTTCAACTTTCTTCTGTTTTGAGACTGAACTGAGATTGAGTTGGTTGCACAAAACGTAAAGCTACACAGTAGTGTGTTTTTCAAACCACCACCCAGAGGAGTTTACTGCTGGGCTACATATGGCCTGTAGCTCATGATCTGCTGATTGAGCGCTTTAGCTTTGACTAATATGTTTTACTAAACAATTGCAACAGGCTGGGAGCCTGCTTGGTCAGCTACTGATAACTTGGTTGTCTTTAGTTGTGCAAATACGCCCTCAGATATTTCAAAATGAGGGTATCTGTGTGGTGGAGTGGTGGAAAGGAAGGTGGGTACCGGTAAAACTTGAGCCACCACAGTTATACATTTCTGCTGCAGACAAAACCTAATACAGCCACAGCACTATGGGAGTCTGCCTAAGATTTGTCCTTCGTATCAGATTATTCCAAATGAGGATGTTTGCAAAAGGAAGTTGGAAATAATCACAGTTGTCAGCCTCCTTCTGTATCTGCTTTCTAAGGCTACAGAAGAAAAGTAATTGTCCAGCTTTGTTATTCAAAGCATTTCCCCTAACAGCTGAATCCTGCGGAAGATTCCTCTTAGAGTAGCTTTCCTCTGTGGTGGATCCTCTTGACAAGATCACAGAAGGCTTTTGGTCTCACACTGTCATGATGATCGTCTAGTTAGGTCTATTTTTACTTCTGAAATACACTGAGAGATGCCACAGTGAGAAGAAGCAGGGCAGTGGGATTTGAGATTAGTCTATGGAGGGTAACACCTTTTGAGATAGTATGCATTTTCCTTCCATTCTTATGTCTATAAAGTCATAAAACTTGACTGACCTCCAAGAAAGTGGTCATGGGCATGTAACGTTTTGGGTTTTTTTTGCGCTAAGATTGAATTTCTGTGCTTTATAGCTTTTCTGATGCAATCCTTTCAGCTTTGAAGTTTTCAAGTAAGATAAAACCTGTGCAGTAGTTATCACTACTCTAAAAAATGATGGAAAATTAAAAATAAAACTACACCTTAAGCTGTTTTCCCTTATTGAAATGTTCTTCTTTGCCCTTTTACTCTGCCCTGAACATTGGTAAAGTGTCAGAGCAGACTTTCAAGCCAAGAGAGAGAAAATACTTCAGCCTGAGAAGGTGGTTGGGGAAGTGGTTAAAGAGGGGAATTGGTGGCTGAAACCTCAGTTGCTTAATTACTGTTTAGGGTGGGAATTGGGCAACTGACAGTTTTGACCAGAGTATTCCTGGATTCAGAAGAATGTCATCTCGCTGAGATTGCAGGCATTAGGTTTTACTGTAATTGTTTGTCTTGCTCATACAGTTGGGATTCTGGCTAGCAGCACAGCTCCATCAGACCTGCTGGTCTTTCTGATGAGGCTTCATTGCATTAGGAGGTGAGAGGTACCAGGTCAACACGGAAGGGCTGAAATGCTGTTGTCCCCGCGTGTTGCCAAACGCTTACAGCCTTGACTGGCTTGCTGTATCCTTACGGCCTGTGAGGCTGAATGCCGTGACTGGCATCGCAGCACTTTCTGGGTGGACTGAGCTTGACCTGCTTGAATACAGAGCTGCTGTTTGCTCTGTGTTCAGAGTGTTGCCAAGGGCTGGAGGTCACCTTTCTTTAGATGGAGATAACCAGTTGCTATAAGCTGACTACTCTTAAAAGAGCTGTAATATTGAGGTAGGTAGTCACATGATATATTAATTTTTCTCTTTTGTTCTTTTTTCTACATTGCAGGAGGGGTGCTTGTGGCCTTCAGAAAGCTCGGTTTCGCGCCAGGGTGCTTCAGAGGTACAGTCGGTCTTCTTGTTGATCTTCAACAATGTGCTTTCCTGTTTCCCATTATGTGTATTTGCCCCTTCTTGAAAACATGCCTGCTGTTTAATAAATAAAGCTTTACCAGCATATATATCCAGAGCCGGGATCACGTGGAAATCTGAGCCTGTCTTAAGTCACATTTCATAAATGCCTCAGGCTTTTTCATTAAGGCACCTACCTTATGTTTCACCTCCATCAGCAGCTCCCTGTGTCGTAGCAGGCATTCACAGGTAAGTGGTGGAGGTGCCTGTCTTTCATGCAGTGGCTCAGTAATTAGAGTATTCAGTGGAATCTGGGACACCAGTTACTCTTCTGCCTGTGTTTTTCCTCTTACGAGTAACTTGCCCACTGGGTTAAACCCCTTCCCCCTTCTAATTTTAATTTCTCTGTGGCCCAACTAATTTTAATATAAAATGCATACAGAGTCTTCCCTCCTCCAGGTGAGCGCTGTAATTATTAGGGTTCGGCAAAAAAGCACCCTCTTGCCCTTGCCCCATGAATATTTACAGTAGTGATGCAAAAAGAATAGCTTCAAAAGGCAGGAGTGACTGACCCTCCACCGCACAAAATGGTAGCGTCTTGAAAGCAGGCAGTAGCAGGCTACTAAGAAGCCTGAGGTATGGGTTGGAACCCCTTCGGCTAATGCAAAAATTGAAAGAATTTCTTATACCTGCTGGCTAAGACCTCTAGCTGCTAAGCTTACTACAAAAAGGTGGGGTGTGTTATTGCTACTTTTGTTACCTCTATCTAATGGCCTTCCTCCATTCCTCCCTGCACCAGGCTCTTAAAGAAATAAGTGGTGTTCTCCTTGGTCTTAGCTGCCTAGAGAGGCTCTTACAGGGCAAATCTCAAGAAGAAGAGGGGACATAACTTGCAGGAATATAAATTGAGCCCTGGACATGAGCAGGGTTTACAGCACATACCCTATCACTGGTGTTTCCTATCATCCAACTAGTACAGCTCCCTGCTCCACATGCTGATTTGTGGGCAGTTTGTTCTGAGCTACCCGACTCTCCTTAAACAGTGAATCTTCCTGGTGGCAGGATCAGAGGTAAAGACCATGCATGGACCCAAAAATGAGAAAAGCAATTGTGACAGACCTAGATGTGAGAACTTGAGATATCTATATATGTCTGCAATAGACCAAGCGAGGAGCAGAAACTCCTTGCAGTCTCTTGAACTCTTCCTCTGGTAAATCTTGTCCTTCTTCAGGGCTTATATGTGCCAGAGAGATTTTTTTCCACTTGTAGTACAGAAGCCTTTCAGATCCCCCCTGGAGGCTGAGCTCTGACTAAGAACTGGGGGGGGAGGATAGCTGATACGCTGTCATAGTGAAGGTGTGAGGTATGCTTGGTCTTTCTGTATGTGTACGAAAATGACCATCTGAATTCTCTGGTAATGCTGGGTATTATGTCAACTTCAAGTAGGAAGGGGAGACTCAGACTGCAGCCGACATTCAGTATTGGGACATTTTCATAAAACTAATTAATTTTCAAGGGTAGGGAGAAAACGAAGCTGAAGTGTTTCGCTATGTACATAAACAGTCTTTTCTCTCCATTCAGCATGTTTTAATAATGTCAGAAGGAGCTGTGTGGGTCTTTGTCTTCCTTCTTGAGGGTGTCCTCAAATGTCTTGTGTTAGATCCTTCCTCCAACTCCTACCTCCTCTTTTCATGCCCACATACGTAGGAGCCCACACGCACAACATCTGCTGGATGTAATCTGTAAGATAGGTGACAAGAAGAACCATTTTCCGTTCTGTCAGTCCTTCATCGGGAGCGCCTCAGTGCTTTGCTCAGATGCGGAGTCACGTGTTTCTCTCTTCCTGTTTCAGATTATGTATGCTCCAAGGTCCAGGGACAGGTTTACCGCCCCATCTTTTATACAGCGGGACCGTTTCAGTCGCTTCCAGCCCACTTACCCTTACATGCAGCATGAGATTGACCTTCCTCCAACCATCTCCCTCTCTGATGGGGAAGAGCCGCCTCCATACCAAGGCCCGTGCACGCTGCAGCTCCGGGACCCAGAACAGCAGATGGAGCTCAATCGGGAGTCCGTCAGGGCACCGCCCAACCGAACCATTTTTGATAGTGACTTGATAGACATTTCAATGTACAATGGGGGCCCCTGCCCACCAAGCAGCAATTCGGGCATAAGTGCAACCAACTATAGCAGTAATGGAAGGATGGAAGGACCACCCCCGACATACAGCGAGGTCATGGGGCATTACCCGGGCTCCTCTTTTTTCCATCACCAGCACAGCAATGCGCCTCCTTCCTCGCAGAGGGGGAGCAGACTTCAGTTTCAGCAGAACAATTCAGAGAGCACAATAGTCCCTAACAAAGGCCAAGACAGGAAACCAGGAAACCTGGTCTAAGTTCTTCTCCCAGGTGCATTCGAACTGAAGATGAGAGATTCGAGCAGGGCGGTGGAGGAAAACCCCCCACGCTCCGGTGCACAGTGTTGTTACGTTTCACGTGGTACAACTTAGTAAAACCAAACGTGCAAACCAGTTCTTTGTTTCTGATTCCTTTCAGGGGAATTGCATGATGCAAATCAGATAGAGAGAAATACAAACTTCCATTCAGTTTGTCTACAAGCAGTGTTTCAGGGGAGAAGGGGGGATATATTATTTTTTTTTAATAAACTATTTCAATTATTTAATTCTAAAAGTAAACTTAGCACAGAAATGAGGCTTGTACAGCCTGTTTTATACTCACTGAAATGGCAGAAAGAAGAAGAAGAAGAAGAAGAAGGTTTTACTAGATAAGTGGGGGAAGAATTGGCCAGTTTGCTTTTTTTTTCTCCCAGGTCGTGGAATTTTTTAGTATGAAACAAAATTCCTGTTTTGTGTGCCAAGGTATAAAGTTGAGAACGTAGATGAATGCAAGGAATTAATTTCTGTTGTGATAAATGTGTTTTTAAAAGTTGCACTATCTTAATGTTTAAAAAATATATATGAGGGAACTGTTTTATGTGAAGTTCTTCTATATGTTGTCTTTTCACCTGTGGAGTAACGATTGAGCCCCAGAATTAATCTGGAGGAGTTTACCCCCCTCACTCCGCCCCGAGTTTGCTAGGGAAAGGGGACAAGATTTAGCCTAACATCTCCTGACTTACACAAATCAAGAAATACAGGGACATTTAACTTGTCTTTGCAATAATTTGCATTCAAATAACAGTGCATCAATGAAGTGTCTTGGAGACTTTTGGCTGGAAGGAGGCAAATATAAAATCCCAGCATTTTCCATCAATTAGGGTTTAGCTATTATGCAGTTTAGACTATTTGTTTCATAAAAGGCAAAACAAACTCAAAGATGTACTGATTTATATTGAGTCTCAGTGCTGCCATTTTTTTCATAATGCAGTATCATCAGTACTTAAGGTTTTAGAAGTTGCTGTCCTCACTGTAGTCCGAAATGTATTTAGTCACATATCATGGCATTATGCAATAACTTGTTTAAGAATGCAAGGTGGTTTTTTTTTCCCCTGCAATGCTGTTAAAGTCTGTGAGACTGTGTTGTGCTTTTCACTCCTCATTTCAGCTTTTAGATACTGCAATTCAGCCCTGGAGATCCATCGTGTTGACATGAATGGACTTTCATAATTATAACCCCCCATGCAGTTTCTGCAGCGGTACTGGGAGCGGCAGTGAAAGCGGTGCTGGTTTCTGCAGCATCACTGGAGGTGACTTGGGAGCACCAGTTAATCTCACAGCAAACCATTGGCGTTTTGCTATGGGCCCTGTCCTACCAACCCTCCTCCGTGCACGTCATCCCATTGATGCCCGCAGGACTATGCCTATGGGTAAAGATTACTCACGTATTAACTAAGTGTATGTAAGCCCTAGTTTTGTCACGCTGGTCTTAAAAGTAGCTGGAAGATGTTACCTACCTGTAAAATGGCATATAGGGTATTTCTTCCCTGACTAGTTTTGTGTGGAAGCAAGTGCAGCACTGGAAGGCAGTTGAAAAATGGTGAGAGTGGCATCACAAGCACATGAAAAAGCACAACTTGCACTTAAAATGCATTTCGGGAAACAGACTTAAAGTTAAAACCTTTAGAGTCTTAGTTTGAATAGTTTCTAATATATATATGTGTGTGTGTGTGTGTGTGTGTGTGTGTGTGTGAGAGAGAGAGAGAGAGAGAGAGATAGACTTTTCACTTTAAGATCTTTCACTTTTTTTATGTTCGTAAGCCTTGCGCTTGGCTAATGGCAGCAGCGGGTGAGTGCCGCAGAGGAGTGCTGTATCGTAGCACCTGTCCCGCTCGCTGGAGCTTAGGTTTCTGCGTGGCTTCTGTGCGCTGGAGGCTCTGATAACTGAACTGAATCTTTGATCTATGCAGAGTTTTAATGCCAAAACAGTGTGCGTCTGTGTGTGTGCGTTTGTGTGTGTGTGTTTTGCGCGTTTTGGTGTAGATTATTTCCTTCATAAGCTAATTCAGTCCTATTTTAGTTTAGAAAACGTTTGAATAGCTGTTAGTCTGAATATGCAGCCTCACTTGTCACTGTAATTGTTTCTTGGTCTGGTATCACCCTGATAATGCAGAGTAAAGCTGCCCTTTAATTTACTTATTATTTGAATGGAGAGGTTAGAGATTATATGACTGGATTCATTTATTTTTTTCCACTCAGACCCACAGGACAGGGGTTTAGGAGAGGATTTAGGAGAGGACTAGGTGGCTGTCTGTCAACTAGGGCTCTTGTCAGTTCCAGTTCCTGGGAGTAACATTTTTGAAACTGGATTTTTGCAGACAACCTATGAGCATAAGCTTTAGTCAAAAAAACCCACAGATGTTGCTTTTTGGTCTTCAGTGACTTTGCTGACCTTTAGAAGTGAGCCTTTGGTCAGACAACGCGTGTGCCTATGCAGATACTTTGCTGTTGCCTAAATATTGATTATTCAGCCAGGAGGCCTTTAGGGCAAAGAACAACTGGAACTCAGCCGTCATGTTGTCAGAGCACACCAGGATTAGGCCCTGGCACTGGACCAGTTGAATACCAATTTCTCCCTAAGTACAGATCTCACAGGAGCGAACGCTGACCTTACTTGCTTTCAGAATCGCCTCTTGGGAACATGCTTTCTTGGAAGACAGCCCTTTGCTGTCTCTGCGTGCCAGTGAATTTCCGCACATCCCATTAACCTTGTTGGGTATGATGCTTGCGCAGAGTTGTCTCTTGATTTGCCTTGACTGAAGGTTAAAACTGTACAGAAAAACTAACCTGTTTTACCAGTTGCCTAGGAAAGACTTGTTTAAAAAAACTTTAAAAAATAGTACTGTATTTACTCACGTAATCGTTGTGATTCTTCCTACACCTGCGCCCTCTCCTCAGATTCTGCTGTCCTGATGGGCAACCGTTCTACCTGTCTGCCCAGAAAGCACAGCCATCTGTTGCTTGCTGTAGCGGAGCTTGCAGTCTATTCATTTGGATGGGGGCAGCTATTATGGCAGTAAACATGGTATTTTCTAGTAAACATTACTGATCTCTCATGGGAACGCTGTCAACCATGTACCATTACAAAAGCCTGTGTTCTCTTCCTCTTTCTTTTTATGATGTTGTACATCCTTGCTAACAGGACAGGAAGCTAAAAAAAGGAATATCAAAAATAAGCAGACATCACTGTCCAGCTGTACAGGCTTACAAATTGGCATTCTCTTAAGTCAGGTAATTCTATGAAGTATTTCTGGAATGGTTAATGATTTCTCTAAATATTGTAGAGTTAATCGTATGGATTATACCTCCATACTTGTGTTTTGTTTTAGGTATCCAATGTGCTAAAACAACATAACAAGTGTGGAGTTTTCTGTGTAATGAATTGTGTTAGGCTGAATTCTGGTTGCTTCTCCTGATCTTTGCCTAATAATGCATCTTCCCTAGACTCAGTCCAGTGCTGTCCCCATTTTAGCAAGTTTCAAGCTAAAAAAACTTTTTAAAATGTACGTTTGAAGAAATAAGGCACGATGACCTCTCTTTTACCTACCCCAAAAGTTTCTTTTCCCGTAAGTTACTTGACATAGGTCACTTCCTGCTCATCAATATGCCTCTTCTTCAGTGTCTTGCCTTATGATCTTCCAGGGCTAGAAAAAGCGTGTTTTTTAGCCATAGAAAAAAGGTTTCCCTCCTGGTTTCCCAGTGGAGTACTTAGCACTTAACTCTAGTTCTGGATGTACTTTCAGCCTGACTGTGGTTGGGTTCATCTCAACGCTGTACAATTAGGCCCTTTGTATATGAAGCACCTTCTTTTAAGATATGAATAAGGACTATGAAAACTAGTCCTATTCGACTGAGCAGTGTTAAGATCACTTCTCTGTAGTGTGTGTAGCACATGCAGAATACACGACACTGCAGTGTGATAAGATGGTTTTGTCAGGGAGGACTTCTTTAAACTACTCTTCGTCTTGTCATTGATGAACACAGCACTTAATACAGCCTCAGGCTGATGTGGCTTTATTACCGCATGTTTTTTGTTGCAGGTATGGAAACTCAGGCACATACCCTGTGTACGAAGTCTTGATAGCTAGTGAGGAAGGTTTTTCTGTTCCTGCAGTCATGGGATCCACTGGAACTATGGATCAAATTGTGCTCATTTTACTCTTTTTTTTATTGCCTGCCCCCACTTCTCCCACCAGTTTGTCCCAGCTGAAAGCTGCTTCTGATAACCCAAACCTCCGAATTTTTATGTTGCATTAAAAAAGAAGGTATCACTGAGATTTCTTTTCCTGTGAATGTGGTTTCGGGGAAGCGCAGGGAGTGAAATTACATTGTTGCTGAAATAATGCACTTCCTTTGCGGTAGGGAAAATGGCTTTGTCCTGCTAAAGAATCTGGCATGCAGGCTTTCTGGAACCGTGCTATCTGAAACCTTCATTTCTAACCCTGCCAGGTAGTGAGATATTGAAACTTAAAACTGACACTCTGATTTGTTAGAGATGTTTAAATGTTTTAGGGAAGATGATTGATTACTAATCTTTCTCGACTCTGTGCCCTGAACACTCTCGGTAACTAAGGCAACCTGGCTTCACTGGCAAAGAGAAAGAAAATAGTAGTGCTGGTGAAAACAGATGTTCCAAAATTGTTCTTTGCAATTCTTTTCAAGGATAAACAACATGCTTGCTGGTGCATTTGAAAATATTTAGATATTTAGGATAGTCCCCAAGCTCTCTCTGGTCATTACTATTGAGACATGTCCATGTGCATGTGTGTATACATGCCAGCATGCAATTTTGTGCCTATATCCTGTCTCTTGATTATTTATTTTTTAGTCACTATTCCATAAGCATCTTCTAGAATGCCGAGATTTTTTTTGCAGGAACAATGACAGGTCATTTGTCAAACAGCTGGAGGTATGAGGAATATTTGGCTTTTGCACCTGCAAATGCCATGCCCTGCTTTTATGAGTTGGGGAGTTTCTTGCTGTGCAAATTCTTACCAGTGACCTAGTGCGCTAGTGCATCTTCCATTCAACAGCGCTCTTTTTTTAGACTGGGCTTTGAAAAATCCCCGTGCTTTTCAGACAACCCTAACGTAGGCCTCATGTATTGACATACAGGAAGGAAATGTGATTTTCAAATCTCAGAAGCATGTTTTTTCAAACCCAGTGATGCTAAGAACCAAGTGATCCATTTGAATACTGGGTTCAGATGAAGGCTGGCTTTTGATTACATCTTTGTATTTTAGTTAGTCTGAGGGCATTATAAAGAATTTACTTAAATGTCCTGGCCTTCCCCATTGTTGCGTGGACTGCTTGTCAACCACTGCAATTATAACTGCTCTCCTAAACTAGCCCAAAATATTTTAAATCCTTTTAAAGAGGCACTCTTACAGAATTCCTTAAGACCTATTAACGCCCTCTAGAACATGGACAAATCTTTTAGGAGGACGTATTGAAGTTACAGAGATTTCCCTGCCAAAGCCTCTGAAATTCTCTTACTTAATTTCCTTTATTCTGTATATTTCACTAGGAAATTTTAGTTTAAAATTTTGAGGATGGCCCAGCTTTCTGGAAGTGTTGGTTGGTAGGTTTTTTTCCTACTCAGAAGTTCTCCAGTCTGTGTTTGTTAGTCAAGGGTATAAGTTACCTTTTGACCCACCTTGCATTGCCATTGCTATGCTGGCAGAAGCCCCCTGGGGCACGCTTACATGAGCAAAAAAGGTCATTTTGTTGGCAACAGCTCTGTTTGAGGAACCAGCAGGAGCTACACCAGTAAAGTTCAGCCTCCGTTGGCAACATCAGACCCTCACCGCCTCTTCCCGGAAAAGCTCTTTCAAGCACAGATGATGGCTCAGTTTCAATGAGGTACTTTACCACACCAGTATGTACCACCGACACACAAATGTAGGCATCCGCTGGTGTTTTCTTGAGAGAGTCACAAATTTTTTACATTAAATATATTTTAGAGCCACTAATGCCATTTTTGTAACCACTCACCTAACTTCTGCTTTCAGAAGGAAAAGCAAGCATGCCTTTGTACTGAGGAGTGTTGCAAGCTCTCCTGGCTTTTACTTCTGCCTTGCTCTAGTCTACGTTCCATTTTCAGACTGAACAAAAGCAAGCCGGGTATTGCTAGTAGCGCTTTAACGCTGAAAGAGCTTACCTTTTAATGTCGGTTTAAAGATAAAGAGAGAAACAAACACGTTAACATAGATGCTTCCCCCCTCCCCTCCCACCGCCGCCCTCCGTGTGACTTACTGCCAGAGATGACGCTGTCATTTCTTTGCTATATTGCTGCTGCTGCTGCTGCTGCTGCTGCTGTTTTAAATGGCTTGGTATGTGAGCTTTCCGAAACAGTGTGGTATGTGTAGGATCTTGTGGGTGACAAAGCTGTCTTTTTTAATTCCTCCTTTCCCTCCTTGGTTTGTGCTTGTCTGTCTGCTGTGGTAGGGTTATTAATAAATTATATGCATACATGTTAGGTATAATTTTGAGGAGGTTTGCATGTCAGTAGTTTGTAAGCACCTAAGGTGCCTCATGTTCAGGTCTGAGCAGATAGGAATCCCCTTGCACTCTGCAGGGCCTGATGCAGAGCCTGGTGAAGTCGGCAGGGAGGCTCTCGCCGACTGCGCTGGGCTTTGGGTCAGGCCTTTCGCTCCCACCTTTGTTGTGCCTCACTTAAAATGGTGCTTTTTCAGTTGTCTGTCTTCTCTTCTGTTTTTTTTTTTCCTTTGTATGGTGCTGTGTATAACTTGAATATATTATGCACATATCCTACCCAATGGGTAGAACAAACAAACATACAAAAACAAAAAGATGTTGTTAATACTGTAAGATAATGTATAGATGATACCAGTTTTAACACAAAAATGGCATAGACTTTGTGAATGCCAACTTCTGTGCTTGGTCCTTTTTTTGTAAGAAAATTTGCAAATGAATGCATACAAATGACAAAAAGTCTAAGTATTTTATTTTCCTATTAAATATCAATATAATATCATAAGGGAAAAAGTTTGAACAAATCCTTTTTGACTAGCCTGTGTATAGCAAGTGGTTGTTTGATGCATCTTTGCTGTGAAGATTTGTTCTTTTTTTAATGTGTCACTTTAAGAAAAAGGAAAACAAAACAAAACAAAAAAACCTCCACAGCTTTAACCTTGCAACTAGATGCTTCTCTTATGAGTTGTTGCCTCGCTGAGTTGGACCAGTGTTAGTTACTACTTCTCCAGCAGATACCTTATTTATTGTTATCCTCAATTACCTTTTTTTTTTTTTTTAACCTAGAAATGGATGAAACCCCTTCAAATCTCTTTGTCCGCAGCCTAGGTTTGAAGTGACGCTCAGACAAGTAGGAACTGATCCAAACCATCCCCACAAAATCAAAAATAGGGCAAGAAGAGTTTTGTGAAACCCACCATCCCTTGTTTTATGCGTACTACATCGAGGTACATCATCTTGCCGTTTCCAGTTGTTCTTAAGGCTTGGTCGGTAGCTGGGAGTCGCTGAAGGCCTGGGGTTGTTGCCGGGGTGCAAGCCTCCGGGCGGACAAAAAAAGCTGCAATTTGCAGTGAGTTGAATGCAGGGTTCAAACCGCAACTTTCCTTGCCTGTGCTTTGGGTCAGCAGCACTGCTGTCACGTCGATTCCTGACAGCAACGGCTAAACCAAGGTTAATAAAAGATCATGGAGAAGGCCTAAACCTGTTCAGACCCCGCGTGACGTAAAAAGCAATTCGACGCGTCAAACGTCTGCCGGTATGGTAGCGTCAGGCTGGGAGCCGATTCGTTTTGGTGGCGTTGCCGGAGGTGCAGAAAGCCCAGCGTTCGTGCAGTTACGTCGGCAGCAAAGTGCTTTTGCCCGCGTCGCTCACTCTGTTCAGGGAAACGGTACCGACGTTACCCGCGACGGCGCTTTTGCCTGGGTGACTGTGCCTGCGCTGGGCGGACGTGCTGCTACGGCTGCAGCAGCAAACCTTCCTCCCGCGCAGCGCCTCTCACCGTTTTGATTTTGAGGTTGGGGGTGGGAGCTGTGGTTTTTATCAAAGCTGAGAAGGGAAGGGAAAGCGGCTCGGCTGACTCGGTTGGCACGGCCAGCCGTCCTCGATGGTTTTGTTCTCCCCCAGTGTCTCCACACGCTTGGCTGTCTGTCCCCGTGCCCTGCGCCCGCTCTCGGCGTGGTTTGTTCGGTAAAGCAAATACCTCAGGAAAACTAAACATGAAGTTCTAGTTTAGAGAATTGCAGATGCTGTACTTATTTTTCTAAACTGTTTGTTCTAACTATCCCAGGACCGTAGGTGGTATAGACGTTTATCAGTCCAAGACAGAATAATCCTCTCGCAAATGGATGCTGACTAATCTTTCATAGATACTCTTGTTTATATGTAGCTTTTTTATACTCGTCAGGCTTTAACCACAGATGTAACGTAGCAACATGTTGGCATATGGTTGAGATGGCGTTTTTGTTTGGTTTTCAGATGACTAGCTAAATGCTAGGCTAAAACTCAGGGGGCCTTATCCAGGGCCCAGTGAAGTCAATGGCAAGACTGCCTCTGGTTTCAGTGGGCTTTCGATTTGGTCCGTAACCCGTGAGGATCGAGACTCGGAGCACAGTCCTTTCCTAGCCTCTTGCGACTTCTCTGTTGACCCAAAATTTCAGATATACATTTGTCTGTAAATATCTTTTTAAAAGCCCTCACAGGCATTCTGTATCTGAATGTTGTTGATCATGGTAGTTTTGGTTTTTTCGTTTTAAAGAAATGCGTGAGTTTTATGGCCAGTTCTACGTCATCAAGCCCTTACAGGTAGCTTGTATCCATCCCTCTAGATATCATGCTGGTTTATCAGTAAGCATGTACCATAGTCGGTTATGCGTATTTTTTTATGACTGTCATTTGTTAACTTGTTTATTGTTTGTCAGGGCATAGAGTAATTGTTTTGAAAGTACACCTTGCTGGCCGTTTTCACATTTCTGTTTGCACTGCAGTACAGCTTCTGTGCGTGAAGGAAGAAAAACAAACAAAAAACCCCAGGCCTTGACTAGGATGAGTCTTTACAGAGTAAACCTTGTGCAGGCGCAATCTAGGCTATGATTTGGAATAACAAAACTTGCATACTGAGTGGACCAAACAGGAGGATGTTTCCCTTGAAAGGCACTAATTTGCTTTGAAGCTGCAGTGAAAAGAGTAGAATATCTATTAAGTGTATTCCCAGCTGTGTGTTCACACTTTTCCGTTTACCACATAGCACAGCAGGTAACCATGATTTTAAAAGAGGTAAAATCAGAAGTTATGAGAGCCTCAGGCATCCTAGAGCTGGACAGCAAAAATAAAATAAGAACGCTCACCTTAATATTTTTTAACAGCCTTTTTCTACTTAACAGTACAAAGACGACACAAGCGTTGTTAGGGATTTGATCTTTGTATAGCTATCAACTGCCCAATGCTGCTGTGCTCAGAGCATTTCATGATGGCACGTACATCAATCAGGCTGTTATACCTAAAATTTGCCATCAAATGCCTGTTTTCAGAGTGTTGACCCTTTCTTTGTTGTTTCTTGCTAGTTATTTTACAGTGTAAAATGCTTTATTGCTGTATGGATTTTTTGTATTTCCAACATTGTAGCTTTCAAGATCACATTTTCAACGTGTCTCTTATTTTTTGTCCATTTTGTTTCAAGTTATTCTGAAATATGTACAGCACTATCAAGAATATTTAATCTTTCTTTTTAATTTTATTGTTGTAAAAACAAATTATTAAAAACAATAAGTCTTTTTACAACTGTATTGGAATTTCTCAGTAGCTGTTCATGTGAAGCTATGACGAACCTGGCTTGCTTTAAAAAGAATTTTTATTTTCCTTTTAACACAATTAATTTGTTGCTTATTTTCCACCGTAACTCCCAGTTATATACAGAAAAAGATTTCAACTGTTGTGTATCTGACTCTTTTAATTGAGCAAATGGTGATGTCCTAGTTTTTAGACCTAAGGTCTGTTATTGCAATACTTTTAAAGGAAGATGTTGCTCTAAGTGCTGTTGTTAGTTTTAAATACAGATTTTATGCTTGTTCTTAATATGCTGTGGTTAAACCATAGCACAAAATTATTAAAAACTATGAAATGCATTTGTCTCCTGTTGAATTTATTTTCTCTTTGACCTGAGAAAAACAAAATGAAGAAGGTAAAACACGAGGGTGGCCTTCTATAAGACAGCAAGTGCTTACCTGTCTTTCTTCCTCATTGGTTTGCTGCTGGCAACCAGGTCACTGATCATTAAGGAATCAGAGGACAGAATCAGCGCTTTAAGCATCTGAGAAGGCTCTCAGAAATGAACAGTTGGTGAGGATATTACATCAAGTGTTCAGACTTTCAGTCTTTGGTGGTTAGTACAGGGATGATTTCAGAGGTTTCTGCCCCATCCCTCTGCCAGAGGATGGTTCCTAGTAGAGAAGACAGCAGTGTCAGAGCCCCTGCCTGTCACCCGTGGTAGTTAACCGTCTAGACTATAATCTAAGCCATTAATGACTGTCAATTCCTTTAAGATAAGAACCTCACCTCAATCTCACTTAGAGCACTGGATGTTGGTGACTATCTTTGACATGATATCAGAGTTGCCTGACCACCTGGTTGATAAGCAATGGCTCCAAGTTCTTGAGTTGAAAAATTTGAAAAAATGAACTTTCAGGCTATGGTTCATAGGGAACCCCTCACTCCCTTCTCATTTAAGAAACCTGGGTCATGCTTTGGCGAGTCGTTAAAACAAGAGTAATCACGGCATAGTATTTGGGGGGGGGGAGCGGAACAGAAACAATGCAGTTTGTAAGAGATTAGACACAAGGATCTTGGGAAGAAGATTCATCTTTGGTAATACAGACCCAACTGCATCCATGGGTGGTGCCTGTCACTCTGTGATGAGAAAGCATAAGAAAATTAGGAGGATTTTTTCAGAGCAGTTAATTTCTATTTATGCGTAAGTATGAAGACGCATGTAAAGTGATGCTTCATTCAGCATTGTTCACGTGTGTTATATTTTTTAATCTATGCTTGCTAGAGTTTGATCTCTCTGTTGTTGAGATACGATGCTTCGAGGGAGGTAATAATGCAAACCTGAGGCTTGCATCTCGCTGGTCTTTTCTGGGAAGAAAGGTCTGCTGAGGTAGCCCCATTCCCGGACCACTTACGGAGCAGCCATTACCTGAGGTAGGAACTGGGGGAGTCTTAACACTTGCTGCTCTTCTTTTCAAATGGCTTGCTTATACAAATGTTCAATAGTTTTTTTTGTTCAAAAGTCACAACTGTCCTTTTCTGTAACCGCCCTGTGTGAGCTCTCCCCCTGCTCCAGCGTTTTAATTCTTCATCGGTGCTTAGGAACTAGCTGGTTCCTTAGTGCTTAGAAGTGCTCCAGATCTCCACGCTTCTGCTCCTCCTCTGCCGTCTCAACCCTGAACTCCCTGGAAACTGCGTTTTTTTGAGATGGCTTTGATCTTTTACTTAATCTGGTTTTAATTGTATTTATATTTGTTTTATAATATGCCATTCTGTTTGATTGTGTTTTAATATCTTTGCCAATGGTAGCTACTCAGAACTCAGCTGTAAATGGGATGTCTCATCTCAGTAGGGTTACTTTTTCCTGTTAAAAGATTAATACAGTGGCTGCTGTAGTCCTGTGAAACCTTTAGGTCTTGCTTCCAGGCTCCCAACAGTATTGATTCTCATTACAAACACCATGTTTTTAACATCCTAAATCCTTTTCTTCCAAAGACCACTTTATAATGAGACTTAGACAAAAATTAATTAGGCTTCTCTCATTATCACTGTTTTGATCGGTTGTGCTTTAAATGAGTTCTAATTAAAATGCACATTTTAAAAACCTTACTGCTGAATCCTGTTCTAATAGCTCGCTTGTGCTGCAGCCATGTCCTGCTCTTGTTCATTTCGGATTGTGTCACTTCTACAGAACTCTTGTACAGGTTAATATAAAAACTTGCATGATTATTTTTGCTTGTTTTCTACATGTTTTTTCCAGATCAACTGCCAAATGTTTGCTCCTGAGAGTGGGGGTTAGAGTGGAGATAGTGAATTCTTTTAAATGTGGTGAAACTGATGAGCAAAGTTTGGCCGAGTTTCTCCATACAGTCAGTAGCATTAGTTGTCCGCAGACTATTTCAAAATGTAAGGGATAAATTATGTGCTATACTTACTACTCGTTAACCGAGTATTTCTGCTTACCTTAGGTGTTCCAAATTGCCCTTAATATATTATTGAAGTTGGCAGGGCTGTACGATCCATCCCAGTGACGCCCATAATATACCAAGCTGAAGGCAAGTTTGCTGGGATCCCAGCGGATGTAGTAACTACTCCTAGGGGGGAGCAGGTTGAAGGCTTGTTTTCCCTCAGTAGAAGGACCAATGCGTAAGACAGATCTGTATTTTGTATTCTGTAATGGTTTTCACCATGGAGTACTAATAGGTGCTAATAGTATCTTCATGATGAGGAAACGTGCGTGAAGAAGGGTATAGCAGATCTCCATGCAGTCTGTGGCAACGCGGGGAATAACCTTCCTATCAGCATAATTCTCAGTCCCTGAAACTAGGAGACATATTTCTTTCCTGCTCACGTCTAACATGCGCGTACTGCTGTCTTGCGCAGAGCTATTCTGCATCTTGCTGATAGTTGCAGGGTTTTAAGCAAGCTGTCAGGATGTAGCCATCCCTTGCCCAGAGAAAAAGGGTTTTTTTTTTTTCATGGAGGCCAAAATGCCATCCTTGAGCTCCAGCAGCTCCAGTCGATGCCAGGACCAGAGCACTCCAGATTAATTTAACATTTGCAGACATTTCCGTGATTGACAGCAGAGTGGAAAATTCCGGTTTAATCCCACTCTGTGCGCCACAGACATAGGCTCAGACAGCTTGACCTACATTTAACCCTGGATAGCAGGAAGCTCTTAGGGGAAAAAACCCAACAACAAAAAACTATTCTTTTTCTCAAAGCAGTGAGAGTAAGTTCTAGCTTATTACATGTCTGTAGGAATATACGCGCACACATGTGGCATTATGTTACAATTCTGTGAATATTTCATGGGATGAGCCACGTTTGCCCTAGTTGGCTTGACTTGATGCAGAAGCCATATAAGTCTTGATACCTTTCCAAATATAAAAGCATTAATGTGTTTGCATAGCCCTTGAGCAAGATTTGTGGCACCAGCAAAAGATACAGGCGTTGCTTATTTTCTTACAATGGGGTTAGGGTTGTAAGTACTTTCGAATTTGCTTACCGCTGCAAACTTTATAGCGCTCAGAAAATACTGATGAGTTGGTGACTTTCCCTAATGTTTTGTCAGGAAAACCCTAACAGGTAACGCTTCACTTACTTACTTACTTACTCACTTACTTATTGCAAAGTGAATCTGGTTAGTTTGGTCCCATTTCCTCTGCAGATGAAAGGCTGTGATAGTTACTCAAAAGTTTAACTGTATTTGTTTTGAATAGTTGCTGGTACAGTATTAGATGACACAGTTACTCAGTGAGGGGTGCGCTGGTGCATGTTAAAAGCCATATGGCTCAGTGATAACTACATTAGCTACTCAACGTGCAATCCCCCTCACCTTTTTAAATTATGCAGTATATTCTGCTGATATTATGCCTATAGATAAGAAAATATGCATGCTAGCTGTAGCCATATGCTATGGGAAACAGACACTTTCATCTAATGTAAAGTTATGCCCTGTCAGGAAAATGACATTAAATACACTAAAATCACCATCTGACAAGTAGCACAGAAGAAATATACTGCCTGTACATGGTAAAACTGTACTCTTGTGAAAGGAAACTGTGCAGCTAAGTGCTGCTTGTGCATTGACAGCTTTACTTTCTTTTTTAAGGTGGATGATTAACTGTGTGCGGGTACATACTGTGCAGATATATGCAGACTGCTTAAATAGAAGGCTACTGCACAACACTTCTGCAACGTGAAATATATGGTTAGTGACATTATGCAGAACTCAAAGTCCTCCTTATATAAAATTATACTGTAGGATCTTGATTTTCATGACTTTTCTGCTCTAAACCATGAAAAAAGTTAAACCCATGTATTTGTGATGAACCAAGGTGTTAGCCACCAGCTAGCCAAGACTGAGCAATTCCCCCCCCTCCACTAAAATTTTTGAAGGTGTCTCCTTATGCATTAAAACAATAGTGACACCTCTCTAATGATCTGACCATTGTAAATGTGTTCACACCTGCTTTTTAGGGACCGCTATTCTTAGTCAGCATTATGAAGTGCTTGGATAAAGCACAGTGCCATAGGTGTGACTGCACTAGTGGGAAGTGCCAGCTGAGGGCACTTCACACGGCTCACCGCTGAGCCTATTAAGCATGACGTTGTAGCTAACTGTAGTGCTTGCTTCTCCTCTGTAACTCCTCAGGTCTCATGGATCCAGGTCCTCCCAAGCTTGTTTGGCACATGTAGGCATATCCATACCAAATGATGAAAAATAGCATGTGGCAAGCTGTAGCATCTTATTTACAGCCTAGCAGTTGATCTGTGCTCTCTCTCCACCTGCTTGGAGAGCCTCAGGTGGGCAGATGCTGCTGCTCGGTGCAGAGGCCAGCTACAGGTAAAGTTTGCAAGGCGCTGCACTGTCTCTCCTGGCTGCTTACTGTGCAGCAGCTGCCCAGACGTCATCTGCCCAGGCGTGGTCCCAAGGGGTCAGCCCTGGCTCAGTGCCATCGCTAATCACCCAGCAGTGCAGTTTTCGTTCAGGTTAGGTGCAGGTTCACAACTGCATTTGAGATGGATTTGACAGGGCAGGTCAAGTGGAAATCACATCAGTTTTATGACTTTATTCTGACTGCAAGAGAACATAAAAGATCTTTGATTTAGCGTAAGATAGAAGAATGAGGACACTGACGATTTGATCCAGCAGTGAGTCTGCCAGTGGAGTTGACTTAAAAACTGTACCACATTTAAGCCAGCAATGCGAGCTTACACTGTGTCATGTTTTGTGGTAGGAGCCATGGCACATGCAAGCTGGTGCTAAGTGTACTAGAGCTAGATTTAGCACGCTGCTGGACCAACACTACCGAAACAGTCCTTGCCTAACCTTTTAGCTGAAGCATGAAGCAAC